GTGGTTTTTTTTTTTTTTTTTTTTTTTTTTTTTTTAATGCAGCAGAAAATGTTCGGTTCTTGAAAAGTTACTGTAGCTTATTTCTGCCTTGCCTCCCACTTTTTGAGACGTTTTCTATATAGTTTATTACGAAAATATAAACCCACCGCCCCTCCCCATCCTTTTCAGACAGTTTCTTGCAAACAAGGAACATAGCTATTGCTCTGAAGAGAGAAAATGGCCACTGTTTCCCGACGGTGTATTACTTTCCACTCTTGTAAACGACAGTGAAATACAGTGGCCTACTTTTCCTTCCCTTGCTGTTACAAAAATATGGGAAATAAGGGTCAGAGCGGCCGAGCAGCGTCAGAAAGAGTAATTAAAATACACTCGTATGAAGGACCTTGAGAGACATCCGAGGCTCGGGCAGTTTTAGAGACTTTTTCCTTACTGCAGAGTGCAAAATAGGATTGATGTGGCATTGATTATCACACATAAAAACCAACAATAATAATTAGACATACAGTGAAGCTAAAGTGAATATTAATTTTGCTGAGAATGTGAGGATTGTTCTGCAAAATCCCCATAGAAAATTATTAGAGCATTCCACAACCTCCTTTAATACAGAGCACAGCCTCGAAAGAACAGAGGTGGAAGAGAAGTAGAAATATTTGCCTAAAAATTACTTCAAAAATAGGGACCATTTATTTTATAAATGCATAAATGGATGTATTAAATTTTTAACCCTTCAAGCTATAGGACTCAGGTATGGAGATAAAGTAATTCAGAGTTTCCCAGCTCCACACTGTTTAGATTGCTTCCAATGCTATTTGAATAAAAAGTGTGGGGCCATACCCACAGACACACACACATATAAAAACTTATGCATATATTTATAAAGACATAAATCAGAAAATATAGACAGTTTTCCTTGTTGCCTTCAAATTGCCTCATTTTTTTTGCATTTGTAGTAGGCCTCATTTCTTCATTCTACACTAAATGGGGGAAAAAGAAACTATAAACTCTGTCTGACATGAAAAGCACGAATCTCAAATGCAAACATAAGTATGAGGGTGCTAATCACCTCGAAGTAAACTCTCTGTAGCAAGGACAAAATCCCTCATGGATCCGAAAGTGTGGCTATTATTTTCTCACTCAATTTCCACACTTGCCATAAATAATGCTACTTTTTTATTCCCTTCCCCTGAACTTTTAATCGGGAGAATAATTTTTTCTAAAATGCCAGTTATCTCTAGACTGCAAATTGCATTTTGAAGATCCTGGGATGGAGTAAGGTGTGTGTCTTAAATTTAATTTAAAAAAATAAACCCACAAAATGAAACCAAAAAACCCTACAAAAAATACAGTATCTAGGGATAGTTTTGTAACTGTCTAGGGTAACACATAACAGAGTTGTGGCTGCCCCATCTCTAGAAGTGTCTGAGAGCAGGCTGAATGAGGCAGGGCACTGGGGTGGGATTCGAAGTATTATCTCTGAAGTCCTCTCCAACCCTAAACAATCTCTGATTGTAAGATATACTCTGTGAAGTATTTATCCATTATTAACACGGTTTCTCTGAGTTATGTTTGAGCTCTTGGGTGTGGTTTAGTTTTGGCTTTGTTTGTTTAGGATAATTTTTCGATCATTTTTAAGTTCAGAAGAAACCCCCATGGCACAACTTCTGAATGGCTAAAATTAAGGTGATAAATTTTCCTGGTTTTAACCAATATGTGTAACCAGGATAAATATCTTTACAAATATTCTGACATTTTAAACTGAACAGAAGAATGATAATGTTAAATTATTTCTGTAAATAGGTATTGCTTCATTTTTAGAGTAACTCGGAACAACTGTTTCCCCCACTCCCCTTAGATATAAAACAGGCTACTTCTATGCAACCTCTCCACTGCACCTCCTACCCCTGCCTCTTTTGTCTGCATTTTACCTATTTACAAGCTAGGAAATCCCAATATTATGTTCTTTGTAATTTGTCTCTTTATAGCATTTAATTTACCCCTGAACCTATTATCCAAATACTTGTTAGATACAATTTAAATATTTTTAATTTTTTGTTGTTGTTTTTGTAAAGGGTAATACTTGCTAAGCCTTAAACAGGGCATAAGATGGCTGCTTTTTTAACTGAAAGTTACCTCTTCCGTCCTTTATGCTCTCATCAAAACATCTCAGAACAATTTGCAGGATTGCTGTATTGTAGTATTAAAATGGATCTGTTTTCAGTGTCAAAGGCCTGTATGGTTGAATAATGATTCTCAAATGCAATAAGAGCAGAAACATTCCTATGTTAAGCAGGGACACTGCTTAACATGATTTTTAATTTTTTTTTTTTTTACTCCCTCTCTTAACTCTTTACTTTTTTTACTCTTAACGTAATTATTTTACTTTTTTAAAAACTTTTTTACTGCAGAGATATTTATAAGGAAAATATCTTTGCAGTAAGTTTCTCTGGGGGGAAAAGGTGGATTCCCCTCCCTCCCCGGAGATACAAGTGCAATACAAGGTTCTTTCTCAAAACACACTAGCATAAGCTGCGTTATTATTACTCAAACTTCACATATTACTCTGTATTGTTACGTTTTGATTAATTTGAGGTCCTTTGTTGATACTAGAATTGTATAATGTAAGATTTGCTTTTAGAGGGGGAAGAAATCACATTATTTCAATCATGTAATTTAAAATGTTGTGAGTTAAAAATGTTCTAGTATTTTGATACATGATTTGGAGGGTCAGTGATGCTGGGACATAATAATGGGACAGTATTTGTTGTTTTATGCTATTAGCTTTTAACACAATATAGTGTAGATAGAGATGGAGATACAGACAGGCCCTCTGATTTGAAGTGACATATTTATTTGTAAATATATTGACATGTCAGTTGTCAATTTTTTTTTTTTGACATGTCAGTTGTCAGTTTTTTTTTTTTTTTCTTCACAGAATTAACTAGGTTGGAAAAGACCTTTAAGGTCATTGAGTCCCACTTATTTTTATGCTTTTATATTCAGCAAAAGATATGTATTCCTATATTTATACATACATTTATGCATAAAATCCATGATCAATGCTATTTCACAGAAAGCGAGGCTAGGCAGTGATACCTGCAACACTGCCATGCATCACTACTGATTTGAAATTTTAAGACACCTGACATAATTAAAGAGGTTTTCTCCTTGGACTTACCTCTATGTGGCTCTCATTAATGTCAGAGAGCACAAGAAGAACTGGAAGGTACTTTGCCTTTTGTGTGGGGGTTCATATTACTTTCTTAGACTTCACAGACTTTTAAAAATCCATTCTTTTAAACACTATTTATTAATTTTAAATTTTTAATTATTTATTTATTTGTTTTAAATTGCCTATCTGTCCTGAGGGCCGCTTTGCACCATGCATTGTAGAAAAACCACGATGTGGTGGGAGTTCACCACCAGTCCCTGGCAAGCGAGGGTCTCGCCTCAGATTTTGGACCCTGCAATGGATCTTGCAATGCCACTTGCCCCAGAAACTTTGCAAGGGAGGCTCCTAAAGCCACTAAATGAAGACACTTTAGTGAGCCTCTGGCTTGTCTATTCAGGGATAAATCTGTGTTTATTTCTCCTCGTCCGAGGATGTCTCTGCTTTCGGCTAATAGTAAATATAGACATAAAATAGCCGTGTTTATCCTTTAGCTATGCAGAGCTCTTTGGGGGCTGTATCTGCACGGAGGATACTTCTGCGGTGTCGCACCGGTCTCTTGCAAATAAAAAACAGGAGATTAGGGAACTGACTTGGGGGGGGATGGGGGGGTAATGAGAGAAAATGGAAGAGGGAGGGGGATGGGTGGGAGGAAGACAAACAAAAAAAAGGAAAACAAAACCCTGAAAAACTCCCTTATTCCCCCTGCCTCTTACAAGGTCTGCCTTTGTAAGCGGCAGGAACTTCGAGGTGGCAGAGTAAAAACTTCACGGCGCGGCTCGTGGGTGCCGACCGCCCGCTCCCACCCGACGGCCGCGGGGGGGTCTCTTGGGGAGGGGGTCTGTGTCACAGGAGCTCGTCTGCGCCTGCAGCGGGGAGACGCTCGGCAGAAAGCCAAGGGGAGGAGCCAGATGCTTGGATTTTGAGGATCTTTCATGGCTGCAAGGCGAGATTCTTCTGCCTAGCCTCCGGCTGCGCGGCTGGATCTGCACCTTACCCTGGCGGGCTCTCGCCGCGGTTTTCCTGTTCCCGGGAGGCTCTGGCAGGGCCCGGCTGAAGCGATTCCCTTCTATCCGCTGCCATTAGGTTGGTCGCAGACTTGCTGCGGGCACGGCTCCCTTCCTCATCCGGTCCGCCAGCTCTCGGCAGGCACGGGACGGAGGGATGGACCCCCGACCCACCGCTCGGATGGGCTCGGGTAGGGCAGGGCCCCTTTCGGAGACAGAAACCAGAGCCGTCACTCGCACAAAAAGAGTCCCTCTCTGTTCCGGGAAAGTTCAGGTCCGTCGTCCCTTCGTCATGTCGTCGATCCTCCTGCCTTAGATACTCGGGTGACGCATCCCACCTGCCCCGGCCGAGGCAGCTGCCGTGGAAGCTGTTTGCCCGTGGGTCTGCGCCCCGCTCCCCTGCCTCCGCAGCCCGCTCCGATATGGGGAGGGGTTGGGGGCGCAAGGCCGCCGCCCCCATCCCCTCTCCCCGGTGAGAGAAAAACCCCCCGAGAACCGCCCGTACTTGTGGTGGGGATGAAACCGGGCTGCCCCTCCGAGGTGCCGTGCTTGAAGCGGGGATGGAACCGGGCTACCCTCCGAGGTGCCGTGCTTGAGGACCGGGCTGCCGCCGTCCCGCGGCCCTTCGCCGCCCTGCCGGGGCCCCTCGCCCCGGGCGGGTGCGCGCCTTTTACCTCAGCCGCTGGCAGCCGGGGGACAGGGAGAGCGGACACCGCAGCGCCGCTCCGCTGGAGAAGGGCCCGGAGCGGGGAGGGGACGGGAGGGGCAGGAGGGGGAGGGGGTGCGAGGGGGCGGCCGCTGCCCCCGGGAAAGGAGGAGCTGGGTCGCAGCGACGGGCGCGATCGCAGCCAGGGGAGAGGGAAAGGCATCGGCGGCCGAGCGGCTCAGGTCGGCGGGGGGCGATGGAGGGGTCCCCCCGTAACGACGGCGACCGCCTGTGCAGCGCCGCCGCCCGCGGGGACTGCGAAGAGGTGAGGAGGCTGCTGCATGCAGGCGTGGATCCCAACGGGACCAACGCCTTCGGGAGAACCCCGCTCCAGGTACGGAGTACGCTGGGTGGGGGGGCAGGGGGGAAGCTGTGCTCTGACACGTCGGCGGGGAAGGGTGGGCATTTCGTGTTTAGAATGGATTTTTATTGTTGTGATCGGAACCGTACTCCAGCCGTAGCTGTCTGAGTTCAAAAAGCCCTTTACTTTTTGCTAAGTCCAGCCGTCCTGTAAGCACAAGATGGAGATTAGTGGGGAATCGCTGTCAGCAAACGAATTTTCCTAGGAGATACTCTAAAGGAGAAGTTGGACTGCAAAAACCGCTTCCAGACAACCTGCCCAGATAGGTTTGGGGAAATGATCTGCGCTTCAAGCAAATTTCTTGATTTTTAAAATATAGCCCAAACAGGTCTTTTTTCCCCCAAGGAAATAGAAGTGCGGTCCTTTTCTAGTATATTCACAAAGAACCTAGAAACTGTGCTGATAAAAAATTGTAACTTGAAACTAAGTATGTATTAGTAGTCACCTCTTTCTTTTTCTTTTAGTAGCAGTAATTTTAACATTCTTTATCCATCAATAGTGGCAGTATTTATTGATAGATGCTAGAAGTACCAGTATGTAGAGTTGCTTTCCAGGCAGTTAGAGAGTTAAAAATGGGTTCTATTAATCGACATACTTAAGTAGACACTTTTTAAATGTTCGTTGAACGATTAATATATTGTGATTTAAATTAGAGTTTTGTATCTCACGAAGACTTTTCGAGTTGTTATTTAAAGAAATGTATTTGATGATTCATCTAATGCTCAGCTAAGCTGAACAGCTATTTTGGTGCTTGCACTTTACATGAAAAATGAAATATTTTTCTGAAGTGTATTACCGAGAACGGCTCTCAAAAAGTTATTCGTTTTACTTCCGTTTTATGTTCAAATTGCAGATGAAAAGAATCTCCAAACTCTTATAAATTATCTTTCCTTTCCCCATTTCAGACTAAGTTCTCTTTCTCCTGTCAGCAACTTGCAAAATGGCTGACACTGGAATATGTGGACCCTCTTTTTCTTTCTGGAAAAGATTAGTATCTGGAATTTAGATATTATGACATTCATAAGTATTATCACACTTGTACTATAAACAAGCCCAATTATTTGAAGTGGACAAACCAAAGTCCCGAGATAGAAATTGATAGAAAAACCTATTGTCTTAAGATATTTTTCAAAGTATTAAGTCACAGTTTATGGCGGTTAAAATTCCACTGAAAATGACAGGAACAGTAAGGGAAGTAAAACCCCATGTACAAATTTATTTTGGTTTTTGGTTGATTGGGGTTTTTCTGTGGCATCAAATATTGCCAAGTTTCTGCTACTGGCAGAAAAGCAGACTATCATTAGGAATTTGCCATTTAGACATTATCATTCGGAATTTTCCATCAGTTAAGTTTTGTGCATTGCTTGTGAGCACTCAGCAGCTGCTTTCACGCCTCTGAGAAAAAGACAGAGGTGAGAGAGGAAAAAAAAAGAGAAAAAAAAGAGAAAAAATATCTTGGTCCGAAATTCAGGAGGGGAAAAATCGAAATATCCACACCAAATGTCAAAAGGAGCTACACCCAGCTGCATTGCTCCATTGCTCTGCTGACCGTTGATAATGCATTCTAAGTGACAGGAACCTTAATGCAAGATCCCTCAGGTGCTTTGCTGTCACAAAATAGATGTTGTGTATATATAGCATACAAATATTTACAAACTCTTCATATGTGTAAATGTTTTTAATATATGTGTATGTCTAAATATGTTTGTAATATTGATACATGCACTATTGTTATATAATTTATATAAATATACTTATTATATATATTTATTATATAATTACATAAACGGTGTCTGTATTATGTGTATACATGTGTACACACACAGAGCTGTTCTGTATCTGTGTATAAACCTGTGTGTACATATATCTGCTTATACACCACAAGTACCATTTTTACCATGGTGTATAAAAATTATATACATTATATAAATGCGAAGCAGAACACACACGTGTTGTACCTGGAAACAAGTAGCTAATATTTTTCATTTATCATCTAATCATAGACTATCCCCAGTTGGAAGGGATCCGTACGGATAATCGCAAACGGCCGTCACAATGTATGCAGGCCACGACTACAAGTAGCAGACACAGCAGAATTACCCCGCAAAAGACAGAGGGGCCGGTCCGGCCGCCGCCAGCCCCGGCTGCCCCCGGACTCTCCGCGGAGGCGGCGCCCGGCGGTGCTCGGGGCTGCGGCGGGCGCTGACGCTGTCTCTCCCCGCAGGTGATGATGCTGGGCAGCCCGCGGGTGGCCGAGCTGCTGCTGCGGCACGGAGCCGACCCCAACCGGCCCGACCCGAGCACCGGCTGCCTCCCGGCGCACGATGCGGCCCGTGCCGGCTTTCTGGAGACGCTGGCGGCGCTGCACCGGGCCGGGGCGCGCCTCGACATCCCCGACGGCCGCGGCCGCCTGCCCCTCGACGTGGCGGTGGGGGGCCCGCACGGAGCCGTGGGGCGGTACCTGCGCGACCCTCCGCCCCTTCCGGGAGCCGGGGGGGCCGCCGAGAAGGCTGCGCGCTGACCCGCCCCCGGCTTGTCCCCGCGTCCCCGGCAGCCCACCTCCCCCGCGAGAATCCCCGCCGCCGAGTCACCAGCGAGCCACCGCGGATGGCGGCGCTCCCGATGTCCGTCTGCTGGGAAGAGTGCTTCTTTGTCCCGTTATCTCCAGGGCCCCTCCCGTGAGTCCCGGGCACTCCGGCTCCCGCTTCTGCGAGAAGACGCGTGCCGAGGTTTTCTCTATTTCCTGAGAAAAAAGAGGAAAAAAATCCAAAACACAATCAAGCTCCTGCTTCTCCCTCTCGTGATCTCCGGCGGGCAGAGCACAAGTGCCGGACGGCTCTTTTGTACTCTAGCGGGGGAAAAAAAAAGAAATACAATTAAATGTTCACCTTTTCCTCTTTTTTATTTACAATAAAGCTGCTTAGCGAAGTGAGAACGCAATGTTTCCCTTACTGGCTTGCTCACTGCCCTGCAAAGCTTTCTATTTTAGTTATTCCTTGAGACCCTTTTATGTTGCACTCCAAAATAGTGAACACTTTAGCCATATCACTTATAAATTTAATTAATCCCCAGAGCTTCTCCCCTCACAGCCCACTCAACATACAGTTTTAACACCAAGATGTAACAGTGATTGAATGGTAAAAATTTTAATGCTGATCAGCCTTACAGTTTGGGAACTACAAACATTTTGTGTAGCTGTATTTATGGAAATTCCTGTGAGAAAACAATTGGCAATCAATCAGTTACTGCATAGTTTTTTGAATTTGGAGATCCCATTTGCACAGAAGATATAGACAACAAGCTTCTTATTTTCAAGACCGTTTTCTGGGTCTCTAAACCAGATACTTGGAAACAACAACAAATGACCGAGTTTGGTTATAAATCTGGATTTTCCCACACTTTTTGGTTTCTGTTTCCTGTTTTTCATGTGTAATTTCTATAATCTACCTGATGTTCATACCACTTATGTGTGATTAAATACCTGCTATTATTCAGTAATAAAACATGAAAAAGATTGGCTTAAAAATAATTCTCTCCTCGTGTTTGAGTATTTAATGGCTCTGCATGAAGCACTACTTATTTGGGTGGTGTTATTTATTTCAACTTTTTTCGTTGCTTTCAGTTTTTGTGTGTGTGTCTGCATAAATAAATACGGATACACACAGCACAATCATGCAGGTCAGATACCAGGACTTTTGGTAGATGTGCATTATTTAAGCACATACATGCACAGAGTTTAAAATAGACAAATCCTTTATTTCTTAGCTCTTTGGGTGAACAAATGGAAAGCGAGCCCCATCACAGAGGATATCTGGCGTCTGGGACAGGGCGGGTGGGACAAGTCGGGCCCAGTGATGCTGGTGGCTCCCTTTCCGACTAGAATAGCCTGTAATTCTGAGAAGGAGCTTTTCGGTTTCTCTCCCTACCCTCCAGGCGGGCGGGAGCCGAGTTCAGCCTCTCGAGCTGGGGCCTGAGGACCGCTGTTTGGCACAGCTCGGCTGGCGCGGCGGCAGCGCCTCCATTCACACATCACCATCCCAGCCTCTGGGCTCGCTGTCCCCGTCCCTGCCGCCGGCTCTCCTGCCTGCAGGCTGCCCATCCCGTGGGAAGGAGGGCCAGAGCTCCGGGAAGTCCCCTCGAAACATGGCAGGGGGAGTGGCATTCACACCAGGATGCCCACGGGGTTTTCACCAGCTTCTCCTCACTCGGGAAAGCTGTGCCAAAAGAGTGTTACCTTCCCAGAGGCTTTGGTCTCAGAGCTGCCAAAGCCCAAAACTTCCTTGGGAAGTTTTCTGAAGAGGATGGAAAGTTCTAGGCATGGAGTTATGTATGGTGATTTCAGAGGCGGTGAAAATGTGGTTCATTCTTTGGACAAGGAGCCAGCAGTGCTGTGAACTACAAAAACCACATCTCAATTGCATGCAAATGCCAGCATCTGAATAATTTTACAAGTTATTTTTAAATTGTGGTGTCCTCTGTCAAACTTTAATAAAATACCTTCAGGTGTAATGGCACTACACACTACAAAAAAATTACTCCTTTAGAACACGATTCCCAAGCTTTAAAACAGGCAACATCCCCTCCAAATTCACCCAGGTTTATTGTGTCTAAGGATCCACAGGCTTTAAATCCTGTGTTCAAAGTCTTTGAAAGTTTCAGGGAAAACAAGAAAAATAAAAACTGTTGTAGAAAAGGAAGTCATCATCCCACCATCCCACCCTCTGATACAAAGGTGTGGAAATAACATTAACTTCATTGCCTACTTACACAGAAAATAAGCCTCACGTACTTTAAATCTCAGGAAGAAAATGGAAATGCTCAGTGTGCTTACAGAAGTGAGGATTTGAAGGTGGAAAAGGCAAGCCAGGTGCTGGAGGGGGAATCTCTGAAGACATTTGTGTCTTAAGTGCTCTGGTGGGGCAACCACTCATAGGGAGGAGATGATACACCTAGTTGTTCTATTTTTATTATTTTTTTAATCAGATTTCAACCAATCCTAAACTGACACTCACTGAAGTAATTAAACATGTCTTTTTTTTCTTCTCTCTCTCTCTTCCCCC